CGATAAGCAAGGCAAAAAAAGCATAAAAGCAAAGCATAGGGCCCTGAGCTTCCAAGCTCTCTCGTTTGGTGTTTGTTTGTGTCATGCCTCGCACTATCCCGTATCTGTCCCGTACCGTACCGTACCATCAAATACAGCTGGCCCCTAACATTCAAATAGGGCTTTGAAACGCAAGATCATAACGTGAAGCAACTTGGAAGAATGAGTATGAATGCGAAGTGTATCGGGGAATGCATGTAGGGCGATAATGCGGGGTCGAATCCCAGGTGGTCCCTAAAAAAAATGGAGAATTGATAAATTTATAACATCCTCATGCTTTTTTTTGCCTAGGTCATCAAGGCGGTAGACGGTGTCGTACTACCCTCGCTCGTACTTTTCCCGTACCGTACACTCTAAAACGACTGGCCACAATAATCAAATAGGGCTTTGAAATGCAATATCATAACGTAAAGCAACTTGGAAGAATTAGTATGTATGCGAAGTGTATCGGGGGATGCTTGCAGGGCGATAGTGCGGGTTCGAATTCCAGGTTATGTTTGGAAAAAACATCCCTATGCTTTTTTTGTCTAGGTCATCAAGGCAAGAAAGCATAGTGCAGGGCCCTGAGCTTCCAAGCTCTCTCGTTGTTGTTGCATGTGTATGACTGCTTACTTTCATTTTCTTTTTTATCTTATGCCATCAATGCAACGTCAACATAACTGTTTGCTTCTAGCTCATGCTAGGTGTTCACCCTCCATTTCTCACATCACATCATCTTCCATGCGGTAGATTGGAACATTAGAAGCAACCAAATTCGGCTGAGAAGATGTTAGGTTCAGTGGACAAGAGACAAGTAGTTTATTGGTTGATATACACGAAGTAGAAAAACTGAGAAGATACCATCTGTAAACGACAGAGAAGACTCTCAAAGAAATGCGTGCGTGCATACACAGTAGAGCTAAAGTTCTACGACATTACGTCATAACATAACACCAGTGTTCTACTATACTTACACATCAGACCAAGTTCAGTGCTCTAAACAGTACCTATTGTAGCACTGATTGTGATGTGCCAATTCGCGACACTTCCATTACTCTCCGTGCTTCTAAATGCCACGCCTGGAAAAGAGTAAAGTGATCATTCTGCAGTGGTCGGAGACACAATACCTTGTGGGTATTCCCAAGTTCTTTCAAGAGACCATTCTGGGATTGTAAAACGAATCACTGCCAAAGTTACTACATCCTTCTTGCGGAAACTTACTACTGCACGCATATTTCGGTTGCGGCAGCACGTCGGCCTATCCTTCATTCATCCTCCGTGCCAGCATGTCCAATAGAGTCACTGAATATGCCAAAGCCATCTCCAGGGCAACGATGTCGTTTGAATCATGACTCCATAAACCTTCTATTATGCCGCATATGCAACTTTCAAGTCGTTCAGCTTGCTCACGATCACCATCGCCAACAGTAAAGCTCACAGCATACTTGAGAATGTCAGGTCTCTTCATAGCAACATGTAAGCAGATGTCCACGCGTGAAACAATGTCGAATCACGAACGAACAAATGGTCAATGTCATGACGAGTCTCCGAGCATTCACCTCCATCCTATGCATATGTCGCAAGAACTTGGTCAGCAACTCGTACTAGCAGATGATTGATCTTGTCATGAATGACGCATTCCTTGATGGTGTGCACATGAGATCACCCTGGTTCATCTTTCCCTATTGTATTCTTTTCACATCCTGCAACCCATTCTCCACTAGTAGCAGTGGGGATACTAGAGTTCGAAGAGGCAAGGCAGCACTCTTCCGTGGACGTACTACTCGACACAACACCATTCATACTTGTTCTTTAGAAGTTTTTTTCTTTTTTTAATGAGTATCATGAGATATTGCCGTAGAAAGTAGTATAGGATAGTAAAGGATAGAATGAGAATGAATGATCAGCTGTGTGGTAAAGAAGGCAGTTCATTAAAGACTTATTGGAAGGTCTCTACCAGCTGATCGTCTTGTTGGACGACGACACTGCATAATGATGTGAAGCTCTCAGTCAGCTGTTTCAGTTCCGTGATAGAAAGTGTCATGTGTGCGTCCAGAGCACGATGAAAACATCTGGGTTTCACGTTGATGCAGATGATTGGAGCAACAGCAAGACGTACCTTCATCACTTGCTCGTCAAAGTCGAGGGAGACTGCCCCGGGGTAGATGAGTACATCTTGTTCCACATCCAGCTCGAACGAGCTGGTCGGGACTAGCTTGTTTTCACCGTTGATGTACACCCGACATTGACCATCGGACAAACGTGATGTGTAGGAGTTGGTCTTGATCTTCTCCACAAGTCCACTTCGGAGAGTGTCACGGAGCGATGGACAAGTCTTGATCAAGTTCGTAATGATGAACTCATTGGACTCGTTCAGTTCGATGTAAATTTGTCCTTGAGCATATTTTCGAGCTGTTGCCATACTACCACAGGCTGGCAGAGCTCCCGAAGGGAAGTACATCTTATATCCAGGTTTGTAGAAGGATTTACCCGATAACTTGTAGGACAGCTGCATGTCCTCCTGAAACCCATCCACCACAATTTCTTTGTGGAGCTTGGTAGGAGCAGGTAATACATAGCGACGCTAAGCCGGTACTGGCTTCGAAGAGAGCCCAACTCGAGGAGGGTCAGCAGGAAGAGCGGAATTCTTCTTCTTTCGTCGCTCGTATAGGGAAGCCATCTTCTAGGAAGTGAAGTCAGGACAACTCGTAAGGACTGTATTCCATGAACGAATGACTCAACTGCAGGACAATCATTCGGATTTATACGAGTCAGAGAGGGAGGTGGATTGAAATGATAAGATATGTGTCAACCAATCAGCATCAAGCCCGCCAAAAACATTTGACCAATCAGCATCAAGCCCGCCAAAAACATTTTCACCAATCAGCATCAAGCGCGCCAAAAACATTTCATCAATCAGCATCGTGCCCGCCAAAATCATATCTCATTATAAAGATTCCTTACATGATACCGCCACCTTGGTGAATTGATACTGTATGGAAATAAGATCACAGTCAAACGTGTGCATGTTCTGGATCACGTGATCAAGTGAATAGGTTTCCCAGCAATAAGCATCAATCAATGATGTCATAAGAGATATATCAGATGGAGATAAAAGCAGCAAATTCGAACGCAACGTGAACAATTGCAATGAAGACACCATCCTAGTCGAATCCATGAGATGCAGTATGTATAGGAGTGGAAAATGCTGAGAAAGAGGTTTCATGATTCGACTGAACCTCAACCAGGATACATTGCTATGAGGTAAGTAGGAATGCAGTTTACGTAATGCATCCACATTCGTATCGTATACTATACAGGATAATGCTATAGCATAGTTTATACTCTTGTACAAACAGGACTTCTTCATCGCACATATCTGCTCTCGAAGAGGGTGTACACAAAGCGGATCGGATAAGAGTTCAGTTTTCGAAAGAAAATGCAAAAGATGACGATCCACACCACATAACCTCTCATGTGCAGCGTAAGCTTCTTCATCAAACTACATCTCTTATGCACATCAACTTCAGGTAAGAAAACCACATCCATGACAAGTCTACAAGAAGAACATACGTATCTTCCTTCATGAACAACATTATCGAGATGATGACACAGTTTTCCTCCCCTTCTTGCTCTTCTTCTTCTTCTCCTTCTTGTTCTTCTTCTTCACAAAGTCTCTTTTCACGTACATATGCACGTAAGATCTCAAATTCAAAATCCATCTTCACCCCACATCATCATCTCCATAATGAAACATTATCCAACAATGTATCTACTTCTTTTACCCACTGCCATCCGGGGCAAGGTGGGGTACAATCCACCCTTCACCCGAAAAATCTTTTTACGTAAAAACCGGCGCCCGGTTTTTTTACCCCAAAAATGGGGTACTATCAATAGGACCCCATTTTTCGGGCTGGACCATGTACCTCTCACAGAACCGGCTTTATACATACTACTGAGATCTATAGGCAACAGAAAACTCCCAGCTGTCGTCTTTAAGAAACCCGAACGAACGCGACCCAAGGTCCTGGAGTCGGGCTATATCTCAAGCTGTATTATGAGCTTGTAAAATGCACTTCAGCTGGGGATTTGCCCATTTTTGCGCATCCCTAGCGAGCCAGGTGCTATGACCAAATCATGCTACCGGCATCCAGAGGTTTTTGCAAAATCCCAGTGGTCTACGATAAAATTTGAGGGAATTGCTTTGCGATGTGTATTTCGCTAGCAATTGACATGACCATGGCGCGTACGCTTGCTTCGCTCACTGTACATTTACGTTGATGCTTGTCATGTCTACAGGAAATGTATTACTTATGGGTAGAGCCTAACAGAAAGTCCAAGATAGTGAAAATCGACCTACAGGTTATTAGTGGAGTTATCGTGGGATAAGTATGTGCAAGAATGCCGATTTCGCATTTTCTGAGATCAGTTCTAGTCCTTAAGGATTGGCAAGAGAAAAGGTGGCCACGATGGCCCTCCTCATGGCACGAAGCTCCGCGCTGTGCATGCCACCATTTGTGACATGTGGACTGCTGAGCGTGACAAGGACCTTTCGACAGGGAGTATGAGAGATGCAAAGATGATCGCGCAGGGGTGATGTGGTTAGGTGCAAGGTTTGTGTGCAGTTTCCAGGAAAATTTTGTTCGTTCATATCGTTCGGTCGAGAATTAAAAAAATGTTGCCTTCCAGCGACATGTGAGGGAAAATTGCAAGTCCGGGGAGTGTCAGGACATTACGTCAGTACGACCCTTATCACATGGCCTGGAACACAAAACGTGCACATGCGCTTGGTTACAAGCCGGGGGAGAGGGGGGGGGCACAATCCAAGGGAGGGCTATATATTTTATTCACATGCTCATAGAGACTGGGGCACTCTTCAACATAGAGCACTATTCAAGAGAGGGCTCTAATCGCGAAAGTACGGTAATCCTTCTTTTCTGCTCCTACACAAACAAGCATGCACCAGGGATATCCTGACTTACCGAATTTTTCGCTTCCAATGGATGTCCAGCATTCAACAGACATTCTAGTACGCCCACATGACCTGCGGATGCTGCAAAGTGGAGTGGTGTCCTACCCATCTGGAAGTAGCATCGTTAATGAATACAAACCATGTACACACAAACACACACAAACACATACACATACATGCATACACATGCAGATTCATACACATGCACACATACACGCATGTGCGCGCATGTGCATGTGCACACATGCACACAAGCGTATGCACACACACACACACAAACACACACACACACACACACACACACACACACACACACACACACACATACACACATACACACACACACACATATACATACACAAACACACACATATCTCATAAGTTCGCATTTTTTTTCTAAACGTAAGGCATTTCGAAACGGGGGTGGGGGGGGGTAGTGCCCTTTTCGAATAGAAAAATGACAGTTCGCACATTTTCTGGAAGTGTACAACACTGTGCTGTGCATGTGCTAGATCGCTTCAGATAACTGTGTTTACATGGTTTAGGTGTGGATCTACCTGTGTTTGCAGATCAGCTAACCCTTGCACTGTATGCATGCATACAGGCTACTCAGAGATGTCAAATGTCACACCAGCCTGATCAAACGGTGTACCTGGCCAGCTTTTTATACAGCAGTACATTGACAGCTGTTATGGAGGGGGGAATTGGAGGAACTACATGTACGTTTATGTGTGTGTACATGACCATTGATGACTACACGTCATTGATTGTTCTTGGACTCAGTTATGAATAGTAATAGGTTGTTCATTTGACCGGACGAGACCACACGACGCTTGCAGATCACAGCACGAACAGTTCATCAGCCACACTTGACGAAAGCAAGTAGTAGTACTCCTGACAAGTCTTGTTTCGTTCCATAGAGATAATAACGGGGAACTCATCAGAGGAGAAGCAGTTGTTGAATGAAGGGGTTTAGCTGAATAATGCAATTTTATAGAAAAGATATTGGCGGACTGAGGTGTAAATGTAGTAGACGGACTTTCTACCGTATTATACCGTATATACCGTATATCAATAGATTTACCATATTGTATATATCACGTAATTTTGTGTACGTCGTGTGTACATCATGTTGGCGCATGCGCGTGTTGCTGTAGTATGAAAAGCAGTCTTCGTCTTGAGTTCGTCTTGTCTGGTTATGTTTCGTCGTTGTGTCAATAAACAGTCTTCTAAATGTAGTTATCGTCGTCCCTTTTGAATAAGTGTGTAGATGGCACGGGACTGGGAGCAGGTGGGAAAGGCCAGGTACTACATAAACACGAGTGTTCAAAACCAGTTGAACTTCGTACTGTTCGTCCTCTTTTTGACATGCTCTCTTTCCATCGTCCTTATCTTTTGTTTCTTGGGAACTGTTTTGGCTTTATCCTATACCTCTGGGGGAGGCCAAGTGATGGTTTTCAGAGGCTGGTGATGGCTGTGAGCGAGAGTTTGCCGATCGGCGTTGTCCTCGCTATAGCGATGAAGATACTAGTTACTGCGCACCTGGCAGATATCACAACACGTTGGAGCGTCCAGGAGCAAAGAAATCTTGGGTTTTCACTGGAATTTAGTTCCTCCAGCATCGCATAGCCCACCGTTGGTGGATGACCGTCCAGAAACGTTGAACCTGGTCTTCTGCAGCATCTCTCAGTCCTGCGAGGTACACTGAATACGTCTGCCATGTATTGTACAAATAAAACTCATGAAGTTGTGGACTCTACAGTGATGAGTCTATCCTGTATGCTGCAAAAAACGAAGGAAATGTGACTGGTGTCTGTATACTGGACGCAAACACCCCCGTCTTCTCCTGCAGGATCGGTTTGACATTATGTAGTGGGTCGACATTGACCTGGTTTGGCAGCTATCATAATAGTAATAGTATCTGCCTGGGTAGATGTAGCAGGTTGACATTTGCGACTCGTCGTCCAGTCCGGAATTTTCTTGTAACTCACGGTGGAGTACCCGGTACCCGCAGGGTTTGTGATCATCCTTGTTCACTTCAGTATTATACACACACACAACGTTCCCTTTGTCACTCATCTTATCCCGAGTACGAGTACTGAATTTGCTGACGATATTGCGTCACACTTGTCACAATCTACCGCTGCTGCTGTGGTGGCTGGTTTGTCAATGTCGGTGACCAGGCTGACTGACTAGCTTCAAGACAGCGACCTCGTTGTCAACCCAGCCGAAAAGCAGATTTTATCGATCCAGCCTCAGCGCCATGTTGACGATGCCCTAGTGACAGTGTGTGTCATGGAGTTGTATTGCCATCAGCGGTCATTGCCGTTCACCTTGGTGCAGCCCTCAGCAACTGGCTCCGCCCATGGGAGTCTCAAGTGGACAAAGTTGCTGCCAAAGCAGCTCAGAAGATTGGTGCATCGTTGTGTAGATGAGCACATAACTAGGACTTCCCGGCGCCTATTTGCCGAGGCTGTGATACTACGTGACATGCTGTACTGCACATTCTTTTGAGCACTGCAAGGCCGGCAGCTAGACCGACTGCAGAGGTCGCGCACATGAAGGCCGTCTATTGCCAGTGCAGCATTCTGGAACGTTCTTTCCTGCTGACATCCGTGGAATAATAACTTTCATTGCTTCAAAGCAAGCGGCTTACCTTTCTGTTGTGCTCCTAGTGTCCATACAACGATAACCTACTACAATGTATTATTTTCCTTTCCGCTGCCCAACCAATGAATAGTACAATGTAGATTCTCTTTCTGCATATTTTAGTGTGTGCCCACGTGCGCGCGCGCACGTGTGTGTATGTGTGTGTGTGTGTCTGTGTGTGTGTGTGTATACCTCATTCACCACTCGAAGTTCTGTTCCCCATGACTTCAACATTGTCGGTCCTTTCAGGACCTGCCATCATCTGCGGATGGGCATTATTGTATTGTGTGCGTGTTTCATTCAGAATCAGATCCGCTATCGTTGCTATAAGAGAACATCGGTGGGTACACATCCAGTGAATTTGTAGATTTGTGTGCTTTTCTCGCTACGGGTGCATACATGGGAGATTGTGTGTGTGTGTGTGTGTGTGTGTGCATGTGTGCGTGTGTGCGTGTGTGTGTGTGTGTGCGTGTGTGTGTGTGATGTGCGTCTGTGTGTATGGGGATATTGTCTGTATCGACTTTTGGTACAAATGTTCAGGTCTGTGTGTGTGAACATGAAATTGTTCGGTTCTGTTCATGCTATGTTGTATATTATTGTATGTATGTGTGCAATCGTGTGCATTTCCAGGAAAAGTGTAGAAGAGCGTGGAGAGTGCATTCATTCCTCATCAACCACTTCCCCCCTCAGACTCGGGGTTACGAGAGTTTTTTCTGCGTACCTTTCATTTTTTTGTTTCTCTGTGATACTGTATTGATGTACATGTACCTTGATGTGTTCCTCTATCTGCAGTCACCTTTATCCTTTGGTCAAGTTAACGTTTATTGTGCTTTATTTATCGTGCAAATAAAAATAAAAATAACACAAGTCATGCTAGAGTGACGACATGTGCGTGTAGTATGGGGTTGATGCGATGGGACGCTATAATTATGGGGAACAGAACACACATTGGGCAGATTGATTGGGCATGATTTTGCTCAGACCAAACAGTGAACATAATAATTATCTCCAGTGACATACTGTTGCGGCTAGCCTCTAATAGGTAGCTGGCACTAGTCACTATTGCTTGTTTGACATGCGCCGCCAGAACCCCTGATGTGTCATGGTGTGGACGCACATGCCCTATTCTGGGGCATACTGAGGTACTTTGACTTTGTTGACTGCATGTAGACAGCATCCACTAGTAGTACTCGTAGACCTTGGCTCTTTGTAGGTCAACCACCATTGCATGGATCGATCGGTGACTATGCACTTGGAGGTTGGAATAGCCCGCGCTGAACAGATCTTGCCATGGCCCAGGGAGTAAACTCGCTTACTCGACTATTCATTTAGTCATACAGCATGAGTGGCGCGATTTTTCCATACCATGTTGCGAGCTCACAGTTGTTTGGGCACGTTCAAGTTGAGCTGCACCACGAAACAAAACGAAATAAGCCCGACTGTAGAGCAAGGAAGGGGCGTTACGGCACTTCCAGGAAGAGACAGGCAGAAGAGATGTTTTCACAGCATGAGCAGCCTCTCAAACCCTGCCGGTACTCCACAGTTTCAAGATAATGTCGGACTAGACGACGAGCCAATGGAAACCTGCCACATACACCCAGGCAGATAGCTGCCAAACCAGGTCAATGTCGACCCACTGCATGCCCGTATGTCAATGTCAAACAGATCCTGCTGGAGAAGACTGGGATGTTGGCGTCCAGTGTACAGACACCAGTCACAATTCCTGCGTATTTTGCAGCATACAGGATAGACCCATCTCTGTAGAGTCCACTACTTCGTGATTTTTATTTGTAGAATACATGACAGGCGTACTCAGTGTGCCTCGCAGGACAGCGAGATGCTACAGAAGACCAGGTTCAACGTTTCTGGACGGTCATCCACCGATGGTGGGCTATACGATGCTGGAGGAACTAGATTCCAGCGAAAACCCAAGATTCCTTTGCTCCTGGATGCTCCGACATGTTGTGATATCTGCCAGGTGCGCAGTAACTAGAATCTTCATCGCTATAGCGAGGACGACGCCGATCGGCAAACTCTCGCTCACAGCCATCACCAGCCTCTGGAAACCATCACTTGGCATCCCCCAGAGGTATAGGTAAAAGCCAAAACAGCTCACAACAAACAAAAGCTAAGGACGATGGAAAGAGAGAATGTCAAAAAGAAGACGAACAGTATGAAGTTTAAATGGTTTTGAACACTCGTACCACCAACTATACCACATTCAATAAATCGTGACGCCATTTTGTTTTAACACGCATGCGGGCCATTGAGTTGTTGTGCCGTTCCGAGGCACGGTGGAGTAGTTTGGAGAGGAGATGGAAGTGGCTCTGGTGTGTCTATGTTGCTGAGGGCTGCCATGATGTATTCGCTTGGTCCTGATCTTTCCAACAACCCCAGGATGATGAAATCCGTCAAGGTGGGGAGAAATGAGAATATATTTCTTTCGCACCTGTGCGCGCA